TCTTTCCCTCCCCCTCTTCCTCAAAGGCTGCTTTTTGACATACAAGAGTAGTTGCCAAAGTTACTTTAAAGTGTTTAAGATCCGAAGGTGTTTGTGTGAAAGTCTCCCCTCCCAGCCGACACTCCTTTTCAGAACTCCTTCACGTGCCATCCCTTGCTGCTGAGATCTCATCACTTCTTCTTCTTATTTTTTTTTTATCTCATTACTTCTTCCATCAATATTCTGCCCTTTTGAACACGCACCCGGGCCTGCTATTTTCTCCCCATTTCTGATTCTCAGGGTAGCTTCCTCCTAGCGGCATCCTTCCTCCAGCTCCTTGGACGCGGCCTTAGGCCAGGGAAGCCCACGGCACTGCGTACTCTCCACTCTGGCCACTCTCTGGAGCTGAGCCCTTTCCCTCGTCTGTCTCTTGTCTGTTTGTCTGTAGAGGACCAAAAGTGAATCTTTACTTTTCCAAGGTAAAGCCGTAGATGAACTAGGTATAACTTAAAACTAAGTAATACTAAGAGTAATGCATTTTTCACTCAGTAATACCACAAATCACAAGTATACTTGTGCACGTGAAGTGACTCTACTGTTCTTTTCACTAGGCAAAAGAGATCTCTCTAGCAGACCTCCAAGAGAATTATATTGAGTCATTAAATAAATTAGTGTCTGAAAATCAACAACTACAGAATGAGCTGATGGATACCAAATCTAAGCTGGAGGCTTCCACTCAGATGTGCCCCCCCCCAAATGACAGGACTTTTAAAGCGACACCCAGCAGAGCTGTTGAGTTGAAGAATACAGAGTTCAAGTACAATTTCTTAAAAGTTTTTAAAAATGAGTAGCATTGTAATATAGTTCTAATTTCTCCAAGAATAGTTTTGATTTAGCAGAAATTGAATGATTAGAGATCTCTTTATGTTTGTTTAATTCTGCTTGCAAATTGCACAAGTAAAGCTCCTGCCTGGTTAAAAAATGGAAAAGGGAGTACTTGGCACGTTTATAAAGCTTCGGTTTTATGCTCGACACTAAAAACCCTTTCATTCCCTTGAACTTTGTCATGCTGTCTCCTACCTCATCAACCCCAATGCCCCATAAGAAGCAGAATGTGGCTTTTTATAAAAGGCCCCCTTATGGCCCCCCCCACCCTTAATTATAGGCTGTTAAGAAGGAAGCATTGCATGAAAAACCCCAGGCATTGACTCAGCTCTTACTGTCTGGCCTGTGTGTTTCCTTACCAGCAGCCTTGGCTGTTGCCCCCCTCCCCCATGAGCAGGTTAGGCACCTTCTCATGTGCTGCTGTGTGCACAACGCTTGCTTATAACCCAGCCCCGGTCATGCTTGATTACCTGGCAGCTGTTGGGCCTCCCTTGCCATATGGTATATGCAGTAAGGGCAGGGGCCAGGCAGAGGGATTGCGTATTGGGGGCACGAATGAGTAAAAGAACACCTATCCTGAGTGGGCCACTTATTTTGTACATGATAGCTTAACTAGGGCAGCTATGAGTCGGAACCGACTTGATGGCTGTGGGTTTGGTTTTGTGGGGTTCGTTAGCCTATTAGTTGATTTCTAAATTGACTCCCTAATGCATTTCTGTTAGGAAAGAGCAAAAAAAATATCTTTGTTTTGTTTTCTAATCTACTATTCAGGCCAACCCATGGCCAGCGCAGACGGGATGGAGTAAAGACTGAGTTCTACAAAGCAGGCCTTCGGTCCCCTCCGAGAAGACAGGCGTCAGAGAGTGTAGAGACGGGCTCCCGGGCCCTCAGTCCCCTAAGCCCTCCAACCAGCCTTTGCAGCTCTACCGTCTCTCTGCCTTCCAACTGTCTGTGTCAAAGCGACTCCTTGCCTTCAGCGTTAGATGCAAACGATGCCAATTTTTCTGACACTGTGTCTGAGAATGCGAATGACCAGGAAGAGTTTATATCTTTGGTATGGAAATGTTCTGATCTCCCTAGTTTATGGAGAATTATTGTTTAATTTTACTTGTTTTTGTTTTATTTTTGGAGGGGGAAGAAGGTGAATATTTGCAATCGTTTTCTGTTAGTTTAGCTTTTTAGTTTTCTTATTGATTTGCTATTAAAAGTAGTTTACCATTCTCACGTGTTTCTGTTTTATGGTTTTAATTGTAAAGATACATTCAGCTTTTCAAAATATCTTTTCAAATACCTCCTAGATCTGAAATATAACATAGGACACAGGTATTCATTTGTCTATAACCCTAACTGGAATTTCCCTTCTTGCCTCCATTTTGTACTGCAGTGCTTGGCTCAAGCCTCCGGGCAAGTGCTGAGACAATGCAGTGAGGAGGAGAGAGGGAACTACGGAAAAGGATGGGGTGGACAGGGGTGGGGGAGGAAGCCTATCTGGAGGGTCCAGAATGTGACTCAAGTGCCATTAGGAATAGGGTTGGGCCGCATGGCTGGCCTAGCTTTAGACCCTGAGCCGGCCCCTTGTTCCTGCCCCTTGTTCAGCGCAGACCCACTGTCTTCTTCCTGCTTTCTGTCTGTCGGGAATGCTGCCCCCGAACCTTTCATCTCCTATCCCCAGTGTGACCCGATAGCTGTGAGCGTTCACTAGGGCTGCTGCTTTACTATGCCAATAGGTCCACAGAAAGGTTTTCTTTTCATTATCAAAATAAAGGGCTGCACAAGTCTTCTCTCCATATCCATAATTATGAATCCTAGAAGCTATGAAAACTTAACTTTCTTCCTAAATTTGGCACTAGCCCTCTCTGCCCGGAACTAAGCAGATGTGCTCATGTGAATAGACTCGATCCCACTAAGTGCCCGCGTGTCCGATTTTGTTTCAGAAATGTTCTTGTGTGTGGCTAGGAGATGCTACCTTCAACTCCAGGAGGTTTCTAAAATCACAACACGCCTGGATTCTGAAGCACCGCTGACCCCAACAGCTTCTAATAAGAGATTGTGCAACTTTGGAAGAGGGAAACGTATTGATTTTAAACTGTTGTCTCATTTACTGTTGATAACTTTTCTACGTTTTAAAATGAAAGTGACATTAGGTTTTTTAAATTGAGTTTGAAATAACAGGAACTCAATCCACCCTCTTCTGGGTGTGGAAGGCATGCAGGTGTGAACTGAGATCTTCATTAGACCAATAACTAACTAATAGCATCTGTTTCTGCAATGCTTTACATATAACTTGGATTAGAAAAGGAGAGATTTGTGTCAATTTTTTTACAGATCGTAACTGATTTTTTTTTAAACTGCCTTTGTCATGAGGATGGGGCCTGGCTGTTGCCATTGGTTTGTGTTTGACGGCTCTGCTGACCAAAAGGTGGGAGCCTCCAGTTCCCTCAGCAGCACCGCGAGGAGAGAGAGGGCTGGTGATCCGACTCTGTGACGGTCACAGCCGGGAAGCCCCGTGGGGCTTAGTTTACGTGGTGGCACAGTGTTGGAATTGGCCTCGTGGCAATGGGTTTAATTTTCCTTTCTTTCACTATTGGATTGAAGACAAAGAAGAAGGAGGAAAAAACACCAAGCCCACTGCCATCGAGCCAGTCCAGACTCTGCTTTCTGCTCCTGTGAAAAGTTAGTTTCAGAAACCCTCAGGGCAGCTCTACCCTATTGCGAGGAGTGGACTGGAGGGCAGTGAGTAAATGAAATATAAGGGAGCTTCAAAACGTTCATGACAAATTCCATTCTCGTATAATTCATTTTTTCTACAAATTTTGAAGTTCCCTTTATTTTTAGAGGGAAAACTTGATTTAAAACTACTTTTTAATATTATTAAAGAATATGAGCTATTAGAAAATATTATGGGTAGATGATCTTAAACGGGTAATATTCTACTCACTCACACATTTCCAATGTGCTTCTCTTCCAGTGCCCATTGCCTGTGTCTCCCCTGGGCTCAATCGCCACACGGTTTCTGGAAGAGGAGGAGCTGAGGTCTCATCATATTCTGGAGCGCCTGGATGCCCACATCGAAGAGCTCAAAAGAGAGAGTGAGAAGACAGTGAAACAATTCACAGCTCCGAAATAGCATCCGAAAAGTCAAGGCTTGGGAATGGAGCTGCACCCCCAGAGTTATCGTCACTAGAGCCGAAGCTCTCTAAAGCACGAACCTATAAAAATTTACCAAGATGCTACATACTGGCGCATTTGTGAAGAAATCTGAAAATTTGATGTCCCTCTTAGTCATTTTCATTGCAATAGTTTATTTGAAGGACTCTTTCCAGCATTAACTTATAAGAACAAACCTCTTGGCTAGGTTTTTTCTCATATTGACGTTTATTATCATAAAGTGATACTTTCTCCCGCTGACTTATATGTGAATATCTCTGTCTCCTAATAAAAATAAAGATTTTATGGCACGTGTTGGAAATAAAGTAACGACGGGGTTCCTCTAAGGGAAGTATGTTGAAACATGGATGTGAGGGTCAGATTGGTTGATTCTCGTGGTACTGGTGTTGCCACTTATTAGCCATGTGAAATTGGGCTGGTTATTTACGTTCTCGAAATCTCAGGGAGAATTTCACTTACTTTTTATGGATTAAGTGGGAACTCCTGGGGTAGGAGGATCGAAAAGAACTAGTTTGGTAACTTAAAGTGCCAGGCGCCGAGTTGGGCTGGAAATCGGGGCCTTTCTAAGGAACCTTGACAGGAGCTCACTCTTGTGTGTAGCTCAGGTATCAGGGAAGCTGGCAGAAGGGCATCTGCCTGAAGGGAATTTCAGGATCCGCACTGCTGAAGAGAGACTTGTGGACCACGATGTCATCAATGTGCAGGACAATGTGAAACCATGAGAACTGGTTTGAAACCCTGAGGTTGAGGAAGATGGATAGAGAGAAGCGAATCCTTAGGGCCCAGAGGCATGCCAGCTTTTGATGATCATAGGAACAGGTTGACAAGGGAGAGAAAGTGTGCCCAGGAGAAGTGAAGTGCTAAGTGCAGAGTGCTTGTCAGCTCAAGGATGTGACTCCTGACGTCCGTTCCCTCTCTGCAGGACCGTGAAACTGCCCTCCTGTCCCCAAGGTCACCAGTGGCCGCTGTTGCTAGGTTCAATAACTTCGTTACTCTCAACACAATCATCAGCATCCTGTCACACATCTGGCCTCTACCTCTTTCTCTCTGGACATCTTTGATCCTACACTAGCCTGGGCTCTTCCCGACCTCACTGGCTGCTCACTCCATCTCATTCTACTTCACTGGCTGTCCCTCGCCTAACTTCTTGATAACATTTGTCTGTGTGGGGGTGGGGAGGTTAGTGGTATTATTTGTTAGTTTAAGCTTTGCTATTG